TTGTATATTTTAGAGATCAGCCCTCTGTCAGATGTGGGGTTGATGAATATCTTTTCCCAGTCTGTGGGCTACTGTTTTTTCTTGCTGACTGTCTCCTTTGCCTTACAGAAGCGTCTCAGTTTCAGGAGGTCCCATTTATCAATTGTTAATCTCAGTGTCTGTGCTACTGGTGTAATGTTCAGGAAGCGGTCTCCTGTAAGTGTAAATCATTTTACATTAAAACTAGCCTTGAGTACAAGCTCCTGGCCAACTGTCCCAGTTCATTTTGGCTGCCATAACAAGGTACTGTAGACCCAGTAGCTTATAAGCAGCATAAATTTATTTCTCACAGTTTTGGAGGTTGGAAAGTCTAAAATGAAGGTACCATGAGATTCAGTATCAGTTGAGGGCCTCTTTCCTGGCTCATGGATGGTGCTTTCTCACTGTCCTCACAGTATGGAAGGTAGCCATCCAGGTCTCTGTTGCTAGGACACAATCTCATATATGAGGGCTCTGCCTTCATGACTTATTTCCCAGCCTCACTTCCTAATGCTACCACTTCTGTGATTAAGTTCCAATATGTAAATTTTAGGGAGTAAAAATTATTCACCCCATAGTATCAGCTGTTTTTGTTGTTGTTGTTTTTTTAACTACCATTGTAAGCTACTTAGGCATTACTAGTCTGTGTAATCTATTTTGATTTTTATATACCAGAAGTACAGGCTCCTAAACATTTTTAGTAGGACATGAAGATAACACTAACCATGCTTCATATTTTCAGATAGATTTTAAGAAATGTCTTTTTGGTCAAGCTCAAGTTTGATACTAAGGTGTAACTCTATAATGTGGTTGCAATCCAATGAAATCTAACAACCACCAAAAATAAAAATAATTATTTCTTTCATACATTTACCAAGTAGTATCATTAAATTTGTCAAAATCAGCCTTTAATATCTAATTTAGAATGATGGATCCATTAAAAGGAAATTATACATAAGTTGTGCTCAGCTTTTAACATGGGTACTGGAGGTCCTTTACAGCAAGTACTTTGCCAACTCTATGGTTTCTAGAAGTAGACCTTTTGATGACTGTTGATAATGCAGGAGTACCATCTTGTGCTAGGAAAGTTTAGGGTGAGCCTGGAAGTAAAGAAATGCCCTTTCAGACTGACAGAAAGGTGGGAGCATAGTTATTAGAGGTAGGAGCCAGCCTGAAGTTCTAACTGACCAAATCTAGGGAAATTGGAGCCTCAGTGAACAGGTTATTGAGAAAATAGGAGCCACTGCCCAGCATTCCAGAGGTAGAGGCAGTTGGATCTCTGTGAGTTCTAGGCCAGCTTGGTCTACAGAGTTAGTTTCAGGACAGCCAGGGCTACACAGAGGGATCCTGTCTCCCAAAACAATAACAACAAAACAAAGAAAAAATAGGAATCTGTGATTTATTGATGATGCACAGATGACAGGTGTGCCAACAGATAGACAGGGAGGAAAGCCAGTACAATTCTAGTTGAATAGGGTAGTTAAAATGGTAAAGCTAGATGAATTACTAGTTTGCAACTATCACAATGATTGGTTTAGGCAAAAATTACCAGCAGAAGCTAAATAGAGGTAGGCAGGCTGGCATTTTGACAGAGAGCTGGATTTTTTCATAGTCTAATTTATCTTCCTACATATTGCTGCTCTGGTTACAGAGGCAAACAATAACAGAAAGTAATTGTTGTGTGTATGCACTGAGAAGTATTAAATGTCATTTGTATCGTATTCACATGTATATGGAATACATGACCTGAATTCTGTCATAATGAAATACCAGACAAACCCCAAGAAAATGATTCTGTTTCAGAGTGGCTATAGTCTTGAAAATGTCAGGCTCACAAAAGAGAAGGTTGGAGTAAGATAAAAAATAAAAAATAAAAAAAAAACTAGTATAGATAAAGAAAACTAAAAAAGCATGGAAACAAAATGTAAATGTGACCCACTTCTGTATCTTAAAATGGGAGTGAAAAAACAACATATAAAAGGCATAATTAGGCCGGGCATTGGTGGCTCATGCCTTTAATCCCAGCACTTGGGAGGCAGAGGCAGGTGGATCTCTGTGAGTTCGAGGCCAGCCTGGTCTCCAGAGCGAGTGCCAGGATAGGCTCCAAAGCTCAGCTGTCACTATTGAAATATGGATGGTAGACTACATTAAATTATTGCATTGATATTAAATTTTTCAAAGTTAGTCATTACACTGTGGTCGTGTTAGAGAATGCCCTATTGTTAGAAAATACACAATGAAGATATAAAGCGAAGAGATGGCTCAGTGGTTAAGAACACTGGCTGCTCTTCCAGGGGACCCCAGTTCAATTTCTATGACCTACATGGCAGCTCACAACTGTCTGTAACTCCAGTTCCAGGGGATTTGACAGCCTCAAATACAGACAAAAACATCAATGCACATAAAAAATAAAGAGAAAAGAGACATGTTTTTGAAGCTATTAAATGTGTGTGTAGAGAGTATGATAACAATATGTAGCATGACATTAACAGTTTGGGATTTGAATGTATTCTATATAGGAGTTCTCTACTTAAGTCTTAGAGCTTTCCTAATTCTTTAAAATTATTTCTAAATAAATTTTTTTTGGTATTTTTAGCCCTTTTAAAGGCACAAAACGATGTGGTAACTATGAAGATGCAGTCAGAGAGACTTTCAAAAGAATATGATCGACTCCTGAAAGAACACTCAGAACTTCAGGTTGGTGACGTGTATTTATAGATATAAAGTTTTTTGAAATAATAAATACTTAAACTATTTGAATTGTTTGCCCTTCACAAATTCAAATAATGTGCATAATCCTGGTTTTAGTGAATAACAAGAAAAGCCAGATTTCCCTGAAGGGTAAAGATTATTAGACCATTACAGCCATGTAAGATAGC